CATCTCTCGAGCACCACTCAGTAGATCAAACAGGATCATCTCTTTCCTTAAATTCCATCCACTGGTTTCCAGCCCACATAAGATCCTTCAGTACTGGCTGTTTATTTCAGAATTTCTCCAAAGAGCAGTTACATCTGTTAACCTCCATTAAAAGCTTTGGCTTCTGTTATTACAGTAGGATCAAAAGCGTGCTCACAGAAAACTTCTTTCCCCCCACACAGCTTTTTCTCATTACTCTAGGCAGATGCAGGAAGAAAACAGGGAGTATCACTGATGACACTCCTTGTCAAGTGATCTGGGCCTCCCAGAACAGGTTTCTCTGAGCCGAGTTCAGGCTGATATCCCAAAAAGCACTTTACTCTGCACTCCCAATTCCACACTTGCCAAAATGACACCGGTCTTACACTCCTGCATGCCCTCCCCTCCACCAGGACAGCCAAGAGGCACAAATTGCTCCAACCTCGGAAGGCCGAACCTTCTTTCAAACGGGAAGAAGCAATTTCTTTACCAAGCAGGTTCCTACACATCCTTGCTGGCTCTGGGAAAAAGCTGGGATTTGCCATGAATCCTGTTGTCTCCAAACCATCCCTAAAGCTAGGGCAAGCTGGTCTTTTATTACCTTACAAGATGGGGCCTTTGTCAATTAAGAAATATACTGTTTATGCGGGGGAAAAAAAATAAAAGGCTAGAAAAAAATACTTTTCCTCAGTATTTAATGGGTTTCAAGGCAAGTAAGAAACAGATGGCAGCATGCCTTAAGCAGAACGGTGGGGATATATCTGGTGAGTGAAATCTAAGAGCACACGAAATGCAGACCGGAGTCTGATCGGCTACCTTAGCCACAGCTTTAAGATCAGATCAGAACAACTGTATCTCTTGAGACACTGAGGGACACTCAGATGCAATTTGGCAGTGCTAGCTGGAGAAGAAGAGCTGTAGCTCGCAGGTTTCCCTTTATTAAAGGGAGCCTCAGAGCTCTCAGGCAACTTCTACACCTCAGAGCTGCAGGCAGACAGGTGACAGACCCCAGCACCCCCCTGCTTCTGACACTGAGCCTGCACAAGTTTATCGTCAGCCCCATTCTTCTGTGCAAGTTCCCATAAGCACAATACATCTCAGCGGTACCAGAGACCCCAATCTCTTGCATCCCACACCACAGTCAAATATTATCGAGTCTTCCTCCCTCCGAGCACATAGACTTCTACGGAAGAGTCCCTCAGACTGCTTGCAAACATCAAGCAGAACACCAAATCTCTGAAAGCCACTTGGGAATCTCAGGAGAGGCTGCGCTCCAGACAGCTGGAAGACGAAAGGAAAAGGAACGTTTTTTCAGCCTCTTTCTGACTGTTAAGAGAAGGTACATCGCCCTGATACGGCCTCCACATCAAGTCCGAAGCACAGGCAGATGACTCCAACTTCGCAAAACAGATTTGGATCTATCACTAGCTTTTTTTTTTTTTTTTTTTAATAATTATCCTGAATATTCTCAGAAGTCATCCTTTTTTTTTCTTCCTTCTGCTATGTGGAACAAGATAAACATAATTTTGAAACTAGAAGCTTCAGAAAGCATCAGGTTCCCTTAACTCGATGCTTTTTACAATAAACTAGAACTAAAGTTGCCCTTCTCTTAAAAGGGAGAAAGTACCAACTGCTTGAAATTGTTGCCAAAATAGTAACAAGAAAACAAAACTGAGCTAGGGAGAAGTCAAGTTCACGGGAAAAATAATCTAGCTGCCCCAAATATAGGAAGAAGGAAAGGTTACCAAAGTTTTCCAGCTACTAAAATAATTCCTCTGCCATAAACCATAAAACAAAATTGGAACTCTCTGCTGTTGCCTTAAGAGTTTAGTTTCAAAAATTTTGGGAGAAGCCATTTAAAACAACGCTTACTGCACTGTTCCCCTCACACTCCCCTTATGAAGTCCATAAAATTCATATTTATGGATGTCTCATAAACCAGGAGCTATTATTTACAACGTAGCTTAATATACAGACTTCCTGCACTCGTAAGGCGTGTGGGCAAGAGGAGGAACACAATCCAGTCAAGGCAGGGAGATGAAATCCACACAGCCCATCGCCAGCAGATGCACACTGCCTGAGACAAGCTGCGCTCAACAACACCCTCACAAGCCTTTGCAAATTACAGGGCCCCAGGATCTCTGTAACCAGGTATTAGCTGGATGCTGTTACGTATCAAGCCCATTTGGAGCAGACAGGCAGAACACAGTGATTTGAGAGCAAATACGTATGGCAGCCTAGGAAGGTCTTGAAATCTAGAAAAATAGACAATAAAAATTTGTCAGAAATGAGGACTTCACCCACTGTTTTCCTCCTGTTGCAAGGAAGCATCTTTACTGCTACTACACTAACATCTTACAGACACTGGCACCTTTCAAAGCCTTATTACCCCAAGTTAGTTTTGCCCACTACTTCTCAAAGTACGAGCTGTCACTGCAGCTCTCCAGCACTACCATCTGTAGCAACACTGAAGTCACAACTTGAGACCTCAGAGTTTAAGGGGAAGCATCGATGTCTAATTTCAAGCTTAAATCCAAAGCAAGAAGACACTCAAGATGAGGCTTCAAAACATGAGGCACTTTACCTGCACGCACACAGTTATACCAGCATTATGTTCCTGCATTCATGAAATTAATTAATTCCCTGCACTTGAGGAGATCACTGTGTTTTAAACTCAGCTTGCATAAAGTCCTGCTTTACTTGTAGATTTCAGGGATTAGAGAAGAACAAAAAGGAAACAGCTCAGGACCAGAAGTTCCCTTAGGAGCATCACAAAATGCCACTTGGACTTTTAAAGTGACAAGAAACTTACAAGAGCTCAGAGCGCATTCTCTCAGAGAGCACTATTCAGTTCCAAGTAACGCTGTGCCTGAAAGCGTTCATTTTTGTTTACAACTTTCACATGGTGCTTTAGAGCCATACACCACCTTTTAGGGTATAGACCCCTCAACACAGCCTCATTAATTACTTTGATTGATACGTAACAGCACCACTTAAAGCTCAAACAAGCTCTGTGCCCCCTGCCATGTAAGTTCCAGTCCAGCAGCACCGTGGCACATGCCAGAAACCTTCTGCCTGAGCACAGCCCCAGATATTGTGCAGGTCCTGAGTTAGGCCTGATGATTTAAGACATCTTCCTCGTTTTATCAAGAACTTAGCTCACCCCATGTCCTCACTGAAGAGCAGCCCCTACACAAAATGTGCTCATTATAAACTAATCCTACAGTAACCTATGACAGGGACACTTGCTAGGAAGCCACACTTCCTTCCAGTTGAGGTGAGCTGTCAAACCTCACTGCTGGCTTGCTTTAGGACGCTATTTCTGATCGGACACCTCTTCCCTATGCCAACACCTCTTTGTGCCAAGGAGCACAGCATCTCCTTGCACACATCTCTACCTCTATCACCACATTTAGTTGTCCCACTTCACCTCACCCCGCTCCGAAGGGGTGCGATCAGCCAGCAGGGCCCCCCAGACCCAAAGCGATGTTAGAAATGACAAAGTGTGGAGCACGGCTCCTGCGGCTAACCCCCTCCCCGGCCCGGCAGGGCACCCACCGGCGGCGAAGTGCAGCGGGGTGGACTTGCGGCCGGCCATGTCCTTGGCGTTGACGTTGCCGGTGTCCACCAGGCGCTTGACTCGCGTCACGTCCCCATTGCGGCAGGCCTCCAGCAGCTCGCGGAACGCCCCGCTCGCCGCCTCGGGGCTCTCCGCCGCCGGGCTGGACGCCACGGAGGAGGACGAGGAGGACGAGGAGGAGGAGGATGATGATGAGGAGGAGGAGGATGAAGCCGAGCCGGCCGGCGGGGCCGAGCCCGCCGCTCCCTCAGGGCCCTCGGGCGCCGGAGGCCGCTCGGCGTCCAGCGGGGCCTCGCCCTCGGGGCCCGCCAGGCTGTGCCGCTGCACGGCGGCCGCCGCCAGCTCGGCGGGCGCCAGGCTCGGGACTGCGGGGCGGCGAGGCGGCGAGCTGAGGCTGAGGCTGCTGCTGGGGCTGCGGCTGCGGCGGAGGAGGCGGCGAGGCCGGGCCGGGCGGCGGCGGCAGCGGCGGGTGGTGGTGGTGGTGGTGGTGGTGGTGCTGCGAGCGCCGCGGCGCCGCCGCCATCTTCGGGCCTCCGCCGCCCCGCCCCGCCCCGCCACAGCCCCGGCTCCGCGGCAACGGCGCCGCCTCCCGCCATGGCGGACAGGAGCCGCGGCCTGACGGGGACGGGCGGTGGGGGCAGCTCGGTGGCGATCAGCAGCCCTCAGATCACGCTCTGAGGGGCTGATCTCCTCGCCCGGGCTGTCCCCAAAGTGGCGCCGTGTGGCGCCGTCCCAGGTGTGGAGGCTGCCCTCAGCGCTGCCTGTTGGTGGCGCCCTCAAACTTGCCCAGAGCCCCTCATGGTGTTGAAGACTGAGGTGGAAATGCATTAAATATAATCATGGAGTCATGTCTCTGCTTTGTCTCTGTCACTGTGTGTGGCTCTGCTCCTCCTTTTCCTGCTGATATACTCCCAAAAGCCCTTTTTGTTGTCCCTCATGCTGGCCATAACCGTGCAAATTCTGCCCCTACAAAGGCAAGCAGCATCCCTGCAGTCCCCACACCTCCCACATCACCCAACCCTCCTTCCAGTGACCATACGCTCTTTTTCTTCCTAAATTCTTGAAGATCTGGTAATTTATTGCTGTGACTGTGGCCCTGCACCTTGTCAGTTCAGCCCTCTGGTACTTTAGGGCAAGGTCACACCGCTCAGGAGCCCCGAGTGCCCACAGCCTCCGAGCCTGCCCCTGCTCCGAAATGCCTTTGTGAGCTTCCCGGCCGTGTTTCTCTGGGCCACAGAGGCCAAGCTCAGCTGAGGAGGAGGAAGCAGCCTTTAGGGTCTGGCCTGATGTGTGCACCCAAGGAAACAAAGCCTGGCAGGAACGTGGCAGAGCTGCCCTGAATAACTAAGGGGTCGCAGGCTTCCAATATAGAAAGATGCTTTAATGTGAAGGAAGGTTAATTATGGTTGTTGCTGGTGATGGTTTTTAGGATTAAAAAAAAAAAAACCACCTTTCACTGGGCGCAGGAGCAGCGCTGGGTGTCCCAGCCACGGCTTTGTGACCCACCGCAGCGCAGCAGGGACAGGGGGGGGCCCCAAGGGCAAGCCTCCCCCCACCCCTCATCCCCCCATTCCCGGCTCCCCGGGGCCCATCCCGGCTGCGGGGCGGTCCGTGCCCACCTCCCCGCCTCCCCGCCCCGGCTACGTGCAGGGGCGGCGCCGGGGCAGTGCCGGCGCGGAGCCGCGGGGAGCCCGGGGGAGCCCCGAGCCCGCTGCGGCGGCGGCTGCGGGGCCGCGCCCATGGCGAGCAGCAGCGGCGGCGGCGGCTGCAGGTAGGGCGGGCGGGCGGGGGGCTCCCGGTGCCGCTCCCGGTGCCGGTGCCATGGCGCAGACGGAGCCCCCGAAGGCGGCGCGGCTGTGGCGTGAGGCCGCCCTGCGCGCACGGAAGCTGCGGGACGAGCCCGAGCTGGAGCCGGAGCCGGAGCCCAACGCCGAGGACTCGGGCCCGCCTGGGGGCCCCCCGCAGCCCCCCAGCATCGCTCCCCGCAGCCCGGCGGGCGGCGCTGGGCGAGCTGGAGGCGCTGAACCTGAGCGGGCGGGGGCTGCAGGAGCTGCCCGAGGAGGTGGGCGCCGCCCTGAGCGGGCTGCGGGTGCTGAGCCTGCGGCGCAACCGGCTGAGCCGCCTGCCCCTCGCCGCCCTGCGCCACCTGGGCCGCCTGGCAGAGCTCGACCTGAGCCACAACCGCCTGCGGGGCCTGGGCGACGGCGGGGCGCTGGGGGGGCTGCGGGGCCTGCGCAAGCTGAGCCTGAGCCACAACGAGCTGGGGGCCGAGGGAGCCGGAGCCCTGGGCGAGCTGGGCCGCCTGGAGGAGCTGGACCTCAGCTTCAACCGCCTGCGGCGCCTGCCCGAGGGGTTGGGGCGCCTGCGGCACCTCCGCGCCCTGGATGTGGACCACAACCAGCTGGCCGCCTTCCCTGCCGTGCTGCTGGAGCTCGCCGCCTTGGAGGAGCTGGACTGCTCCGGGAACCGGCAGCTGGGGGTCCTGCCCGAGGGCATCGCCGCCCTGCGCCGCCTCAAGATCCTCTGGCTGAGCGGCACGGGGCTGGCGGCGCTGCCCGAGGGTCTGTGCCAGCTGGGCGCCCTGGAGAGCCTGATGCTGGACGGCAACCAGCTGCGGGCGCTGCCCGCTGGTTTTGGCAGCCTGCAGAGGCTCAAGATGCTGAACCTCTCCTCCAACCTGCTGGCCGAGTTCCCCGCCGCCGTCCTGGCGCTGCCGGGGCTGGAGGAGCTGTACCTGAGCCGCAACCAGCTGACCGTGCTGCCCCCTCGCCTCTGCCAGCTCCGCCAGCTGCGCACCCTCTGGCTGGACAACAACCGCATCCGCTACCTGCCCGACTCCATCGTGCTCCTGCACAGCCTGGAGGAGCTGGTCCTGCAAGGCAACCAGATCGCCATCCTGCCCGAGGGCTTCGGGCAGCTCTCCCGCGTCACCCTGTGGAAAATCAAAGACAACCCCCTCATCCAGCCTCCCTACGAGGTCTGCATGAAGGGCATCCCCTACATTGCGGCCTACCAGCAGGAGCTGGCCCACTCCCAGCCCGCCCTCAAGCCCCGCCTCAAGCTGGTCCTCATGGGCCCGAAGGACGCGGGCAAGACCCTGCTGAGGCGATGCCTGATGGAGGAGGATGGGCAGAAGGAGGACTTGGGGAGCCTGGATGCGGGCAGCACCCAGCCCAGAGGCTGCCCTGGGCAGCAGCAGGACGCTGGGAGAGCGCCGGTTGCGTGCTGCCCCTTCCCGGAGGACGCGTCCCAGCAGGACCTTCCTTCTCACGTGCCCTCCCACCGAGGGAAGGAGAAGCACCGTGCCCTGCACCGCCAGCCGGATGCCTCCCAGGTGCCATTGGGACCGGGGCTGTCAGGCAGCAAGGGCATCGAGGTGATGGACTGGACAGCGGACGCGGAGCGGGGCCTGACGTTCATCGTGTACGAGCTGGCAGGGGGACCCGAGCTACGACGTGATCCAGTCTTTCTTCCTCTCCCCTGGAGCCTTGTACGTGCTGGTGGTGAATTTGAGTGCCTACGTCCCCCAGCACTTCTACCCCTTGGTGGGCTATTTCTTGCACTGGCTGGGTTCCAAGGTGCCCCACGCTGTGGTGTGTATGGTGGGAACCCACGCCGACCTCTGTGCCGAGCGGGAGCTGGAGGAGAAGTGCCTGGACATCCACCACCAGATCGCTCAGCAGGAGAAGAGGGATGCCGAGGGCCTCCAGAGCCTGGTCCAGCAGGTGGATGAGGCTCTGGGACAGGACTTTGACCTGCGCTGCTCCAGTCCTCACGCTGCCTTTTACGGGGTCTCGGACAAGAACTTGAGGCGAAAAAAAGCTCAGTTCCAGTACCTTCTCAACCACCGCCCGCAGATCCTCTCCCCGGTGCTGCCGTTCAGCTGCCGGGACCGCTGCCAGGTGCGTCGCCTGCGGGACAAGCTCCTCTCGGTGGCCGAGCACCGCGATATCTTCCCCAACCTGCACCGGGTCCTGCCCAAGTCCTGGCAGGTGCTGGAGGAGCTGCACTTCCAGCCGCGAGCCCAGCAGCTCTGGCTTAGCTGGTGGGACTCTGCCCGGCTGGGCTTGCAGGCGGGCCTGACGGAGGATCGGCTGCAGAGCGCCCTGTCCTACCTGCACGAGAGCGGGAAGCTGCTCTACTTCGAGGAGCACCTCACGCTGCGGGAGTACGTGTTCCACAACCTGCCGCGGCTTATCGACATCCTCAACGTCTTCTGCCAGCAGGACGCCACCGTGCTGCTCCAGAAGCTGCTCAGCGACAGCCACATCGACGAGCTACGGGCCGCCCAGCTCCATCACTACGTGGAGGGCTTCTTGCTGCACGGCCTCCTCCCCGCTCACGTTATCCGCCTCCTCCTCAAGCCCCACGTGCAGAGCCGGGAGGACCTGCAGCTCATCCTGGAGCTGCTGGAGAAGATGGGGCTGTGTTACTGCGTCAACAAGCCCAAATGCAAGCCCTTAAACGGCGCCGCTGCTTGGTACAAGTTCCCCTGCTACGTGAAAAACGAGGTGCCCCACGCGGAGGCCTGGATCCACGGCGCCAACCTGAGCGGGCAGTCGTTCGTGGTGGAGCAGCTGCAGATCGAGTACAGCTTCCCTTTCATTTTCCCCCCCGGCTTGTTCGCGCGCTACAGCGTCCAGATCAACAGCCACGTGGTGCAGCGCTCAGACGGCAAGTACCAGATCTACGCCTACCGGGGAAAGGTGCCGGTGGTGGTGAGCTACCGGCCGGCCAGGGGGGCTCTCCAGCCGGACACGCTGTCGATCGCTAGCCACGCGTCCCTCCCGAATATCTGGACGGCCTGGCAAGCCATCACCCCCTTGGTGGAAGAACTGAATGTCCTGCTCCAGGAGTGGCCGGGCCTGTACTACACTGTGCACGTCCTCTGTTCAAAGTGCCTTAAAAGAGGGTCGCCGAACCCGCACACTTTTCCAGGTAAGGCGAAACGCCGCTTTCCTGTCCCCTCTCCTGGTTCTTTGCGCCTTCTTCAAGGGGTTTCCGTGCTGTTAATCTCAGCTTGCTTTAATTTTATTTATTTATTTTTTAACCTCCTCTGCTCTAGCTCCCTTTCCTGGTGACTTGAGTCATGAGAGAAAATATTAGGGTAGCTCCAAGGAGACAGGCTTAAAATAACCCTGTTCTGAGATGAGGGGAGTGCTACGTCCCCCTTTGGCCAGGTCTTTTCTCTCTGATTTTGGGGCTCTGTCCCTGAGCAGTGACCATGCCATTGCTGAGAAGGTCCTGTCCTGTCCTGATTTGGGTTTCCTGGAGTGGCTTGGTGTTTTTTTTCCAAACTCCCTTTACCCTCCAGCTTTCCCTTCTTCCAAGCCATTTGTAAACACACAGGGATGCCTAAAAGTCCCTCGGTGTCCTCCCTCCTGTCCCCAAAACGTGCCCTGCAGTGCAGGGAAGCTCCTGCTGGTAGACAAGGGCTGTGTGGGTCTTCGTAGCCCTGGTTAAAAAGCCCTGTCTTGGCTGAGAGCCTCTATCAGGAGGTGTCCCTCCCTGGAAGAGGGATGCTCCATCTTGCTCCGTGTGCCTCACCTCCAGGTGTTTCACTGTCTGTGCATCTGTCGGATGGTTTTCTTAAAAATTCTTCTCCTTCCTAACAAAAAAAATGCCCTCAAACCTGTGTCCCTCAGCCTGGGGGCGCGGGGTGGCACGCCAGGCCTCCAACCCCCCCTTGGTGCCCATCTCTGCTCTGCTGAACAGAAGGCTGGCCGGGAGCTCTCCATGGGAATCGTGGAGCTGAGGAGTTTTTTCTCCTCGTTTTGCCGAACAGGAGGTGTGTGTAGTTACAGTCGTGCTGCACAGCTCGCTCTTCCCTGCCTGAGGCACGGCTGGTGTCACTTGTGACAGCACGTAGGTGGTCCAACGGTACGAAAACGCGTGGTGCTGGAGGTGTCTGCTTCCTCCCAAGCTCTGCCGGTGGAAATCCCTGGTCGGGACGGTGCTGCTAGCTCTTAAACAGGGCCGTGGGCTTTTTTTAGGGCTGCGTTAAGGAGCTGCTTCGCAGCCCGTTGACCTTAATAAGGGAAATGTTTCTGTGGCGGCGCTGCCAGATTTGTGCTCAAAAATGGAAGTTGGCCCTGGCTGTGCGTCTGGTTGTGCAATCTGTGCTGTCCTCCACGCAACTGATGGCGCGTGGTGTGGGCATCCAAAATTCTCACTGGAATCCGTTTCCAGGAGGGGACGTTGGGTGTTCGAGAGCTGTGGGGTAATCCTTGCTTTTCCTCTGCCTCCCTGCCCTCTCGAGCCTGTGTGCACACTGTGCACACCTAGAAATTCTCTGAGAACGAGGCAGTGTCTGCTCAGTGATGGTTAATGAGGATTGAGATTCTGGATTCAGTCTCCTGAGCGTTTATTGCAAAAAAAGCTGCGAAATAAAGCTTGGCTCAAAGTGACTTGGCAGGGTCCTTTTAAGGAAGTCTTCCCATTTGAAACGGTTTTGTGGCTGGGTGAATCAGTAACTGAACTGGCATCCGAGCTGGAATCTGTGTGCTTGGAGGCTGCAGTCATCTGCTTGTCCAGTAAGTGCTGCGTTGAATGTTGGTGCTTTTTTTATTTTTTTCCTTTTATTTTATGTTCGCGCTGTGTGTAAATAAAAGGATGCCTTCCAGGCTAAGAAAGACCCATCCCTGCAAGCTCGTGCTGCTGCTGCAGGGGTCTTTCAAGGGGCTGCAGGGCAGTGGATTTCTAGCTGGCCTGTCCGTGGAGTTAGACAAAACACACGTGCACACTTACTGCGGGGTGAAAGACATCCAAGAGCAGCGTAGCAACTGGCTACCAGGGAGCTGGCTAATTTCTGTGCGTTGGTTTGGGGTGAATTCTTCTGACCTTGGTTGGGCCAGAGAGTTTTAAAAGCCCATCTGCTTCGCTGAGAGGTGCCCCAGGAGTGTGTGAGGAGGTGGTGGGTGATGTTGGATAAAAAAAAAAAATGGATGGGGGGACCTCGTTCTGCACCAGGCTGCTGCAGGTTCTTCTGAGCTGTGCTCTGCACAAGGTGTGCTCGTGTCTGATGTCCATTTGGGGTGGGAGGGCAGTCGTGTTTGACTAGTGGCTTTTTTTCTATTCCTGCCTCTGAAGTTGCCTGGATGAACACAGGTACAAGAAAGCCAAGGGCTGTGTCTGCTGCAGAAAAATGGCAAAATGCTGTAATGAGCAAGACAAGCTGAGCGTTAGCAGGAGCTCTCCTGTGGGAGGGAAGTGCCGTCTGCCTTGCTGACCCTTTTGTGAGTTATCAGCACAGAGAGGACATCAGAGCTGCAGAATGGTTGAGGTGGGAAGGGACCTCTGGGTGTCACCGAGCCCAGCCTCCCTGCTCAAGCAGGCTCACCTCTATCAGGTGGCCCAGGACCACATCCAGATGGCTTTTGAGATCTCCAAGGAGGATTTTGGAGGCCTCCACAGCTTCTCTGGGCAAGGTGTTGCAGTGCACCATCACCCACCCATCACAGAAATCCTTCCTGACGTTCAGACAGAGCTTCTTGTGTTCTAGTTCAGTGCCCATCAGCTCTTGTCCTGGCACTGAGAAGAGCCTGGCTCTGTCCTCTTTGAGCCTTCCCTTCAGGGTGTTGACCCAGAGGGAACCATGCCTGACATCCCTGCAGCAGGATCAGAAGCAAGCGTGAGCTCCCTCGGTGGCTGGGCTGGAGTCACGAGATGGTGAGGCAGAGCCGGCACGATGTGTCATGCTCTCCAGGCCTGTGCGAAGCCAGGAGGGAGCAGGTGGGACTGGTTTTCTCATAAAGGTTCAGAAGACGCTCCAGAATTGGAGCTGCTTAACGAAGGGCTCATGTCAGGTGTCTAATTGTTCTTTTAATTAAATTACAAGCAGCTGGGCTTTTGTACCAACAATTGTAGAGCAGTACCTGCTGGTTACAGAGCATGATGGTAGAGCATGATGGTAGCATTTGGCAGCCTTTCCTTGTCCCCATTTGAGGGTGGAGTCTCTTTATGCCTTATTTCCAAAGTAGATGCTACATCTGTTTGGGCTGTTACGCTTCTCTGAAGGGCACAGCACAACTGAACCAGGGGCAGGTCTTGCACGCAGCATAAGCATCAGGCATTGTCACTTGTATGATCAGGATAAAGCTGAGTGGGGCCTGTAACCTGCCTCTCCTTGGTTGTGGGACGTGCCCTTGCCTTGCAGATGTGGCTAACTGAGGGAGGGAGCAGGGCTGGTTGGTGCCAGATGCGGTCAGCTCTTCACGGGTGCAAGACCCATGATGTGCTCGTGGGCTGGTTGGCTTTGGGAGAAGCCAAGAAAAGCGGCAGCTGAACTTCACTTGAGGTGTTCAACTGCAGTGTCTCTGAGGGTTTCTGGCCGTGCCCAAGCAGGCTGAAGCCGTGTTGTACTTGTGGTGTTTTCATGGCTGAGGCTCGGTGCTGATGGGGTTGCCGAAGCGGTCAGTGGCATCTCGCAGGCGCTGTGGTTAGGGGCAGCCCGCCTGTGGCCAGTGCATGGAGCTGTCAGTGCTCTGAGCTGCCTGTGTTGGTTGTGGTTTGGTACGTAACCCTAATTCCACGTGTGGGTTTTGGTTTTGCCCCCTCTTTTCTTTTTTTTTCCCACCAGTGGTTGTTTTCTGTGCTTCTCCCATACCAATGGGTACGCAGTGTGCCCATTTAGCGGTGTCAGCTGGGGCCTGGGCTCCTTGGGGTGGGCACGACACCGGGCTGGGACCTCCAGGCTTCACAAGGTGACGTTGGTTTCTTTGAAGTGACCATTCTGCGTGAACCAGGCAACAGCTTTGGGATGAGCTAGGCACTTCTGTGAGGAAGTGGGACTTAGCACTGCATGAAGATCAGAGGATCAGATTGAACTGGATTGTAGAGGCAGGTAACCTTCAGAACAAGCCGAGGCTGAATCTCAAACCCTGCCCCTATTTGTCTGCTTTTCCCACCTGGTGACTTGGAGGTGATGCTTGCGTAGCCCAGGAAGAGTCATTTTTATGATCAAACCAATATTGTAGGGTTTTGTCCTAACGGAGTGCAAGATCCCGGCACACTTTGCTCAAGACTTCTCTCTTGAATGAACCCTACAATTTCTGTGTGCTGAATGCCTCACAGGGCATGTCCTCTACATATTTTCCTCTGCAGCACTACGGAGTGAGCAGTGCCCTGTGATAAGGGGCACATCCTGCCCTGTGACAGGGCTGGGTTGTTGATGAGCTCCCTGGAAAAACGAATCCGGCGTGGTTCCTACAGCACCCAAATCTGCAGAGGTTGGCTCGGGATGGAGCTGTTTGACTAATTTGCCTCCCTCTTCATCTTCGTGGGTGACAGCAGCCCTCACCACCACATCACCGATCAGGCAGCGAAACTGGGACGGCCAGCGTGGCTCCAAGCAGTCCCCAAAAAGCCCTTTGACAGGTTGGCTTTCCTGGGGAAGCCTCATCTCGGCCTTATCTTCAGGAAGCTAGCGTGCTCCGTCCCCACAGAGGAGCAAGCAGGCTGTGCCAGGGCATCCCTGCTGGAGGAGTTTCCTGCAGATAACTTTGTGCTGTGGCCAGAGGGTCGCGTGTGTGCTTCCCCTGCCGTCCGAGCCGTGCTTCTTGCCCTCTGGCCGGGTGCAGCTGGGTTTTTCCAGCAGGACTGCTGGGTGCCTGGTGGCAGGCTTCCAGGGCAGGCAGACACCTTACGTAACCGGAGGAATTTTTAGCTCCCTGTTTCTCTGCATCTTTGAACAGCCTCTTTCTTCGTCTGAGTGAGATTTTGACATCCTTATTGAAGATACCAATGTGCACGCTGGGTGTGGAGAACTCGTGTCCAAATGAGTTTTTTAGCCATCAAAGCGGCTAAATTTAGGAAATCTACCCAAAGGAGCTTCCCTTCCTTGTCAGCTGACACAACATTTCTTGGTCGCCGTTATTTTTACCACAGAACAGCTTAAATCTATTCGGGGTGGGTTTCTGTGAAGCAGTGCTCATGTGCTG